TCTCTCTCTCTCTCTCTCTCTCTCTCTCTCTCTCTCTCTCTCTCTCTCTCCTTCTCTCTCCTTCTCTCTCTCTCTCTCTCTCTCTCTCTCTCTCTCTGGTATATGTGTGACATAACGGGTGATATTTAGATGAGGTATCCATGTCGTTTAACACCTATCGATTTCGTTTCGTGTAACACCACTTCAGACATCCACTGTTCAATTTATACTTGATATTTATTATTTAATATTTATCGATTAGATTAGATTTACAGATCCGCAGCCAAGAAATGGACAACACACGTCGACTGAATACACTGCCAAAGAACGCAGAAGTCACTGCAGTCTGCAGCTGGCCCACTAACTCTGGCCTGCTAACTCTGATTCTTTGACGAGGGGGGAAGCTGCCTCTATAATTGTAACACACGCGCGTGCAGCTGTTTGCCTGCCTGCGTTTGTATAGTCGGGTCGACATGGCTTGGCCTCCCTTTTTCTGTTCTTCCCTCGTCTGCCTTCTCCTTTCGTCGCTTCGTGGTCCATTCTCTTGTGTTGTAGTTAGTCTTCGTTTCGTCTCAGACTCTTATTAAGTCAAATTCTTTGTCCCGTCCTTCGTTCACCGATTATACTGTTCAATCCTCCCTCGTTGGCAGTCGTCGTCGTTCAGTCCAGCTGCAATCCTCTGCTTGATCTTCGTCCAACCAAGCTTGGTAGAGTCATGGTCATCATTGGTCTCTACTTTTTGTGTAACTTCAGTTTACAGTTTAATCCTCGGGCCCTGATTTTGGTCTGTCCTTGGGTCCGGTCCTCTGGTAAGATGGGATGGGTCCATTCTGTAGTGTGGGGTCGTGATTCAAATTTCAAAATCGTAGTTGATTCTATAGTTTGGTGTTCATTTTCCGATAATACTGATATCTATCACTCCGGACTAGCGGATTCGAGCACAGAAAGTAGCTTAAGTTCTGCGTATTGATTGATATTGTAAAGAATTTAAGAGAAATAGATAGGCAACTTAAGCAGACTGTTAAAGAGTGCTCCGTATATCCATTTCATCAAAGCTACTGGCGGGCGGCGAGTGATTACGGATTATGTTCGATGTGAATAATTTGAAAGAGTATAGGTCATGACAATTAATAAGATACGTAAATAACGTGATCGGTTATGAATCAGTCCTGCGGGGCGATCTGAATTCTTAGATAGCGGACGAAACAGCATTTTTTACTCTCAGGTTGTGCGTAGTCGTGTCGAGCAGAGAGAGAGAGAGAGAGAGAGAGAGAGAGAGAGAGAGAGAGAGAGAGAGAGAGAGAGGGGCGTGTGAATCTCCTCTTTTTACGTGTGTGTGGGAAGAACCGGCGGAAGAAGGAGAGGGAGGAGTGGGGGAAGGGTGAGGACTCAGGAGGCAGTGCTCCACTGCTCCATTCTTCTGTCTATTCAACTGGAGCAAGCCTTTCGCTATTTCAAGCTTTAAAGGAAGTCTTAATATCAGAAATAAGAGATCATAAATCTGGACTTCATCATTATTAATGATTCTTGTGGGGGCCTTTGCACCCCTTTTAGTTCCTTTCGGCTTTTCCATTCTTTTTTTTTTTTTTTTTTTTTTTTTTTCTAACTTAGCTTAATTCTTCGCTCAGTTTCACCTTTCGTCATCTATCTGCCCCACTACTCCTAAGCCTATACCGGAGACCCCTCACACATACAGCTACCTCTCACAATTAAGGGGGTGCATGTTGCCCCCCCTTCCCCGCCTCCCGTGGTCAGGGAGTAGGTAGGGTAGATGGGAGGTGCAGCTACTGGAAAAATGTTCGGTCTTGCTTTTTTTGGGGTGATTGCAACCCCAGGCCTTCGAATCTCGTGGTTTTTTTTTTTTTTTTTTTTTTKTTAAATTTGGACATGCCCTGCCCGCCGGGGGCCTTTGTAGGTTCCATTTGCCCCGATTAAGAGATTTGGGCTGTTGATCTTCCTTATCTACGGCCACTATCTCTTAATCCCTGCATGTGGGACCTACCAGGGATGATGTGTGTTTTGAGTTTTCGATTCGCACGACGTGCATAATTTTTGCACGAATGGTTTCTTCCTTGGTGTCGATTAAATTCGATGATTTTTGTTATTCTTAGTAGGAGCAGGTACACCTCAGTCATGAATAGAGTTTCCTGGGAGTCGGTTTGATACCCTTTTGGGGGGCAAGTACGTCTCAGGGCGTACTCACGCTAGTTTTATCTCATATGTATCTGACCGTATTTACGGCCAGACCCGGATCTATATAACCGCACTTACGTCCAGAAATGAGTAAAAAACTCCTAGTGTAAGCATGCCCCCCAGTCATGAATAAGAGTTTCAAATAGGCAAAAAAGAGAATCTCTCATCCAAAAAAAAAGAAAAAAAAAAAAAAAAAAAAAAAAAAAAGCTCTCATCCTCGGCCAAGGCAGTTAAAAATTCGGGCTGGCAGTTCGGATACTAGGCCGACCATTCGTTTTGGGCATCTTTTGTAACGAAGGAGACCGATCCTTCCCAGGTACCAGGTACCTGGCTTGTCGACTTCGTTCGGGCATTGGGACACACCCGCCGTTCCAAATCCCTTGGGACGACGGTGCCACGGATCGTCCACCCCCATGTCTACTCCCAACCTACCTAAGCCACAACCTGTAGGTCAGCGTAACTCTCTCTCTCTCTCTCTCTCTCTCTCTCTCTCTCTCTCTCTCCTCTTTCTTTTTCTTTTTTTTTTTTTTTTTTTTTTTTTTTTTTTTTTGTCCGCGCGCTGTTGGTAAGCAATTATATGTAATTGAGAATGTCATGTAATGGTCGTGATAGCATCGGTCTTTTTTCGAATAAGGAAGGAGCGAGTTTTTGACGGCAATGTCGTCGTTCCTCTTTCGTGGCACAATTGCAACTTGAAGAGCTCTGGGTGCTTCTCATGCCTCACAGGATCGCCCGAAGAGAAGGAAGGAGTGAAACAAGAGGAAGAAGAAGAAGGGAGGAGAGAGAAAAAGGAGGACATGGAGGAGGAAGGAGGGAGAGAGAGATAGAGGGCAAAAAGCAGACGGGACATCGGGGAAAGAAAGGAGACGAGAGAGGACAGAAAAAAGAAAAAGAAGCAGACTACACCGGAGAGGAGAGCAGAAAACAGCGGGAAATTTGTGCTTTTGTGTGCATTTGTGCTTTCGATTCCTTCTTCCCCTTTTTCGATCTGCAGTGTCACTTGTGCATTTCTGTATCGGGCAATTTTTGCGACCGCTTGTCCGCCGACGTAGCTCGGTTGGTGCCACCAGCCTTTTCCTGATATCATCGCTCACGACCACTGTGACGATGATGATCATATCCATTAAGAACACAGCAATATATATATATATATATATATATATATCGTCAAATAGTATGCACATTACGTTTTGTTTTGTTGTGGCTGAAAACTTTTCTTTCTTCGTTGAATCGTGATTGTGAGGAGGATGAGGCTGGTCATGATCATAATGTGCTGCTTGTGATGACGAGTGCGAAGTTGCGAATACAACAATGAAAGACGTAACTCAGTCGGTGCACCCATCATGACCCATGAGAGACGATTCCAATTTCAGCAAATCCAGACCTGAGTTTGAAATCGGATGAAACCGGATGATTAACAGAGTAGGGGGGATAACGGTTTCATATCATATTACGTGGGAAGCAGATAAGACTCACAGGAGTGGATATCCTACCGTCCTCTCAGGCTCTCACCCGAGTAGAATGCCTGGTCATTATTAGTGTCATTTTTCAGTCCAGATGCAGCGATAATGACCGGGCGTTCTATTCGGGTGAAGACGGTTGTACGTCATCCCACGTGGCAGGGATTTTCGGATTGGAGTTGGAAAAGGAGCGGGCGGACGAGTGAAGAAGCAGAAGAAATAAAAAGCAAAGGAGAAGAAGAGGAGGCAGAACGACACGGAGGTTGGAAGGAGCACGTGTCCACGTGGAATCGGAGGCGAAAAAACGACAAAGGAAGGAATAATGAGGGTAGGGGAGGCCGCTCTTGTGCAAGCGTGCTGTCGCAGCGCCATCTGTAGAAGGAGGAGGAGGAGGCGGCGGGTATCAGCGCCGGAGGACAATGAAAGGAGCCCAGTTGAACGGACGGAGCGGCTGCAAGCAAAGCCACTCCTTTTGTCTGAATTGGGATAGCTAAGGGGAAAAAACTGAAAGGGGGAGTACGGGGGAGGGGTCAAAAAAATGAGTTATAATTGCACGAAGGGCCAAGATACAGTTTCGAATTGCAGTTCGGGCTATGTATACAACCCAGCTTTCTGGCCAGGTGTAGGGTGCCCGAAGTGCAATTGGAAAGTGTATCTTTCCCCATAGTGCAATTATAACTCGTTTTTGCGACTCTACTGAAGTTAACACCCCCTTTGCTCACCTTCCAGGGCAAGCAAGCTTGGCGCCCGCCACCTAGAGATACGCCGTTGGTTCCCCCGAGTGGGGCATTGAACAGAGACTGTTGATGTTCATAGGCGGAAGGGACCGGGGGCAAGGTCCCACTTGCACGGATTAGGAGATTTCGGCCGTCTAGAATCCCATACCCCTATAATAATAAACATAGGGATTAAAACACTTTCAAAGAACACATAAAAAAGTAGAAGATCTAGCATGCAAAACACAGCAATCATGAAAGCTTCCAGAACTAAAAAAGCTATCATGTACTATTTCTTATATAATTCTAGAATAAGATAATATGGAGAATAATGAATATATACTAAATATCATTCATATAGTATAGAAACTTCTACGTATGAAAATCAGTCTCTATTTCTTTCTATAGATCAATGATAAACTCAATAGAATAAAAGAAATATAAAATAAAAAAATACAATCTCGGCTATCTACGGTGTCTCTCTCTTAATTCGTGCAAGTGGGACCTAGCCCCGGAGGGGACGCAGAGTGAGTGGCCCTTTGAAGGAGCTCGGTCCTGATGCTACCGGCTGACCCCTGGCCGGTATCGCCCACCTGCTGTCGCAGGGGTATCCCACCTGCTGGTGGGTGCAGCTCCCTCATGCTCCCTCTATTTGGAGGCTTGAGTATGGATGCGGCTGCTATGGGTTTCCCCGTAAGACTATTATGACAATAAAAGAGGCCTCGAAGGCTGTCCTGTCCAGATTCGACAGGTAATCGAATTGGTTGGGCAGGGTGGAGGGGCTCTTCTGAGGGGGGTTACCCCAAATAAAAAAAAAAAAAAAAAAAAAAAAAGGGTGGCTGAAAAAAGAAGGGATAATTTGCAAAATATCCCCATAAGTTGAGATCTTTGCCAAAATGCCCCTGAAAAATGTGGGTACAGCGGTATGCCCTTTTGGTCCGAGATATTTGTGTTGTGCGCCTGTCAGGCGGGTGTGCAACTTTCCTATTATCTGGACCTCCCCGTTTGGGCCTTGGCCTTGGCCTTTTGCAATAGCGCCAAGGAGAACTTGGCAAGTACTAGGGCATTTTGCAAAGTTGGACGGTACCTGGTAGGGGTATAATGCAAAGATGGGGGTCCAACCGATGCCAGGGGTATTTCACGGAAAACATTTTTTGTCAGAGGGGCATTCCTCTCTACCCACATCTTTTAGGGGCATTTTGGCACAATGGGGGTATTTTGCAAATTATTCCCAAAAAATTTAAATGACTGGAAAGGAAAACGAAAAAGGATTGGACCAGAGCAAACTGTAAATTTGTGTTATTTAGTGACGCAAGGCCCACTTCCCAGCAGGTGAAGCTCCCCACCAATGACCAGTCGCCATCCAAATGAGGTAAATGAGGCTTCCCTTTGATCCCCACCAATGACCAGTAGCCATCTAAATGAGGTAAATGAGGCTTACCTTTGATCGAGGTTGCTTGTATCAACCCCTCACGTCCGCTCCCCGCACTGGCCAGAGATTTACAAAAAAACAAAAAGGAGGAGGAGAACCCGTTGGAAATGTGCATTGTCGTATGAGGTTGGGGGTTCAAAACTCAATTGCAGCCTTGCGCATGGACACAGGAAGGGCGTTAGAATGACGCACCGTTGGACACACTCCCCTGGGCTGACGCATGGTACTATTACAGACACTGCCTGCTCACCACCCGGGGGTCAGTCCATGGGTGTTGTATGCTGGTCTCGACTTCACGTTGGTTGCTTGCTGTTGTTGGCTTTGGTCGCTCTGATGATCTCCCCCAGCCTAGATATTTCACAAATTCACATAGCATATCCACTTCCTACAGTAGTGAATGTGGTACAACCCTTCAGTCTCATACTGTAGGTTGTGACGCCAAACCTCACGGCCGGCGCGACTTCCTGATCGGAGTGTGAGTGGGCCTGGAAGTGCGAAAAAGGGGGTGTGCCAAGGATTTTAGGAAAGTGGGGGTGGAGTCCGAGGTCGGAACTGAGATCTCCAGTGGCAAGTTTCAGGGATAGGAATGCAAGAGAATAGACTCGGGTTGAAGTCTGTTTCTATGCTTGTGAGCGTGGGGCTACCACCGTTCCGTCGTC